GATGCCATTCTTTATACTGTTCTAACATCTTCCTCACTGCTGCTTAGATTATGTCACAGAGGTTATGGCAAAATTTTGTAATGAGAACTGGTAAGAAAATTAAAAATATTTTCCATCAACTGTTGGCAGAAAAAAAAGGGTGAAAAAAGGGTTGGAGGGAGTAAATCTTAAATTAGTTTCATGGAAACAGTGTGATGTTCTGACATGTTTCATCTGGTTGTTTTGTTTTGTTTGTGACTATCTTTTTGACTTAGGGGTAAACGAATTTTATTCATAATAATTCCCATTCCAAATATCTGTAATTATCTAAATTGAGTTTCTGTCTCCTGATGGTTTTCTTCTGATTCTTCCCATCTTAATTCCACACTGCATTCAGTTTCACTGCAAAGTTTTCTTTCTGGGGGGGGGGGAGGAGGAAATTTGTGTCGCTGTAGCTGTTGTTTGCTTAGAAGATGTAGAACCAACATCCTACTCCCAGTTAAAAAAAGGCAATTTTTAAGTACTGCACGATACACTGCATGCATCCAGTTCATAGTAGAGGAACAGATGGGTGAATAGCCTTTCTTGACCTGTACCCTCTCTTTCAGGGAATAACCAGGCTGGCCAGACTTTGCAGTGTGGGTGATTACCAGCCAGCCACCTCAAATATACCCAGGGGAATCTTTAATGTGCTACTTTAGAAAAGTACTCAAATGATATCAAAATGAGTATGAAATACATTTAAGGCTGTTTTATGTAAACTTACTGACAGTTGGTCTAACTCAAACAGTACCTAGAAGACCAGGAATAACTAACTTTGAATTCAGGAATTATAAGTGATGGGCAGAAGCCAGCATTAGCAAAAGTTGATGTTTTTTCACTGTATAAACAAGGCCAGATGGGCTCAGGTGGAATGCATTTAAGTTGGTGCATTTTCCCCACATGCACACCTCTAATTGATGAGGAAATTGCCCCATCCTTCAGAATTGCCTGGTGTTTACTACTGCAATAAACTGTACTTAGGAAAGAAACATGACTTCAGACTTTTGTAGTTTCTCAGGTACATGTGCAGCCCCAATTATAAGTCTGGGCCTGAAGAAACATATTACACCATTAAAAATGTAACAAAGATGAGATCAAATTTAAAGGGCATATATTCCAATTTTGCTCTTGTACCAAACTCTCTGGGACTGAAGCTGTTTGGGAAGCACTGCAGAAGAATCTTACAATACTAATTGATCAAGCAATAAAATGGCAGATGAAATTTTGTACCAAAAATACAAAGTGGTGCACATGGGAAAAATAACCTTAACTATACACACATAATGATAGGCTCTAAATAAGCTATTACCACTCAAGAAAGAGATCTTGGAGTCTTCATGGATAGTTTTCTTAAAACATTGTCTGGGAATGGAAAAAGGCATTTTAGGAAAGATTAGGAAAGGAAAAGAGTAAAACAGAAAAATGTGTCTTATTCTGTGTGCCTGTTTTTCAGAAAGCCATAAGAAGCAGCATAGAGAATAGTGCCATGGAAGACTGATATACAGATATATAGTATAGACTAAAGGATATAGGAGGACAGAATAGATGGAATAGGATTCTTCACATTTGAAGAGGTGACAGAAGGGTGATATTATAAAGGTGTACAAAACTATGGATGATGTGGCATGGTAAACAATTTTTAACTCTTGTGTTCTTAGAGAAATGAAAGACTGCTCAGCTTCTCATACCCTTCCCTAATAAACCTCCATCAGTTAACACAGGATACTGTTCTAAATGGACGTTAAGTCTAACATATACAGCAGTTCTTAATTACATCAGTGTTACCACATTACTCTCAAATTGCAATAATCCTAACTAATAATGCTATGACAACGTGTATAATCTAATCTGGATATTTTGCTTTCTGCAGGATGACCTCTATAACCTCTCCTTTCCTGGTCAAGGTCTCTTACTGTATCACTTTAAGGTTGATAAGTCAGCAAAGAATGATATTAGCATACAGCATGGTGGAAAGGAGTGGAACCAGTGGATAAACACATTCAAAGCCAAATGCACTGGACTACAATTGTTGCATTCTCAACATAACACTTCTAATGAAAAGCACTATTAAAAATGATTACCTGTCCTGCCTATCCCAGAATTTAGATGAATGAAAAATAAGCAATAAGAACAAAAATGCAAGAAAACTCTGTAAAGTCATTTCCTGAAAACCAGTTCTACTACTGAAAGAAAACTGCATCTTCTTTTGGTGCACTTCTGATCTATTCAGTACTGCCAGTATCACTTCAAATGGTGATGCGAAACCATGCCAAAGGGTGGAGTGTAAAAAATTCTGCATAGATGATTTGTATTTTATTTACTTTTTATTGCTCAGAAGTGCAAAGCACTTCACAAAAGACATAGCCTTGTCCCAGAGTTTACAGTCTAATGGATCTATTTGACAGATATGTGAGCTACAACATTTCATAAGGCAAGAAGGGACTAAGAAAGGACAGGGTTTTGAGTCAATTGCTTTCTCCGTTATTTATTTATTGCCAAAGCATTTCCAGTGACCACACACTGAAAGCTGCAATGAGAACTGCATTTGAAGCAAGACTAATCTAAATGACTGAATCCAGTTTGGGGATGGAACTCTACGCCCAAATGGTGGTGCTATGAGGAACCTTTGTAGCACAGACATTTCCCTACTCCAAAAGAGTTCATTTAGCAGCACGGGCACACATACCAGGGTCAGGGTATTGTCTGTTTTCACAGACAGTCACTGCCTTGGTGGACCCGGAACCTGCTGGTGGATCTTTATTGCTATGTCTCCTGCTAGTGAAACTGCCTTCCTCCTTTACTCCTCTCTGTACTCCTAATTGTCTCAACCTGTCCCTGACAATTAGCACAGTTTTACTTTCTTCCTTTCTCAGTCAAGTCCTGTTCTCCTCACAAAGTTACATGTCTCCAGACACATAATGACATGACTTTTTAATAGATTGTGTAGCTGGGATTTGCATTTTGGTTTCAAGAAGATATAAATATGAATCAAAGTTGCTACTTCAGTATGTGGGTTTACCACTACATATGCACCATAGACTTTGTCTATAGAGCAAAGTGTCTGCCTCCTTCATATTCTACTTTTCCTCTGGGTTTCCCATAAGGTGAATGCCTCTGGTACCTTCTTTGCAGTTTTATTCCTCCTGTGTAGCATATAACCTTCATTTCTTCTCTAGCACAGATCTCCTCATATTCTTCCAGTTCCTGAAAGGTCTTTTAATAAATGCACCTAGTCCAAGCACAAGACTATCTGACCAAGCAAACAGCCAAAGGTTTTCAATCCTTGCCAGAGGGAAAAAGCATCATATTCATGCATCATCTGCAGCAGGATTCGTTCAGTAGATCATCAGTTTATGTTCTGAAGAGCGAGTCTTCTCTAGTGGTGGCCTCCAAGCACGGCCAATGCAAGCTGTTACATGCCCTAAGGCAAAGTAAGCATTCACCACCAACAGCCAGTGCCTCTAGTCCATCACCTACCACAACATTCCCAGTCTGCCGGAGGGAAACTAGGGGGAGCCAGGGACCCCAGTTCAGAAGCAGCTTCATGCAGCACCTCTCCGGCAGCAGCTGGGAGAACACACAAACTCTCCCGTCTCCTCTTGGTTGGCAGTGTATAACTGTATTTGGTTTACAACATGGCAAGGTGGGGGCTGGTTGGGTGCATTGCAGAGGTGGACTCTAAGAAGACACAAGAAACTGACACCATGTTGAACAGAGCCAGTTTTATCCAGCTCCAAAACAGACCCACTGTTTCCCAAAGCTGAGCACCCAGTTACGCTGGTGGCATCCCTGCAGTAACATATTTAAGAAAGGGTAAAAAAATGCTGCACAGCAGCTGGATGAGAGAGGAGTGAGAAAAATGGGAAAGTAATAACTCTGCAGACACTGTCTGTGAAGAAGGAGGGAGAGAAGGTGCTCCAGGCATTGGAGCAGAAATTCACCTGCAGCCCATGGTGAAGACCATGATGGAGCTGATGACAACACTGCAGGCTGTGGATGACCCCACATCACAGCAGCTGGAGATGCCTGAAGGAAGCTTCAGCCTGTGGAGAGTGAAGCAGGAGCAGGTTTTCTGGCAGGAACTGTGGCCCGTGGAGAGCCTGTATTAGACCAACCTGCTCCTGAAGAACAGTACACCATAGGGCAGACCCACACTGGAGCAGGGGAAAAGCATGAGGAAAAAGTAGTAGCAGAGATAAAATGCTATGGACTGGCCAGAATCCCCCACTCCTCACCCCCCTGTGCTGCTCAGGGGGAGGAGGGAGGAGTTGTGAAAGGCGTGAAGTTGGCCCTGGTAAGAGGGGTGTGTGGGCGGGTATTTTATAGTTTTGTTTTTGTTTCTCACCCTCCTAATTTACAAGAAATTAAATTATTTTTTCCCAAATTGAGTCTGGTTTATCTGTGATAGTAACTGGTGAGTGATCTCCCTGTCTTTATCAGGAACCATGAGCTTTTTCATCTTATTCTCTTCCCCCTATCCTGCTGGGAGTGCAAGAGCAGCTTGGTGGGCACTCAGCAATCAGCCCAGGATAACCCACCAAAGTATCAGTGAATCTAAAAACTGATCTCACCTTTCTTCCCTTCCAGCCTTAATCTTGATTACAGCCCTGTTATCCTTCCTATTTCAGTTTTTCTGTAAGACAAACATTGTGATCAATTACTTGATCATCTTCCATTCACTTCTCAAAACTTACTGAAATGGGAATTTTCCCCTTTGACACTGCAACTCTTTTTTTTCCCCTTGTGTCTTTTAAACAAAATTGCTATGATGGCCTCTTACCCTTTCTTTCCTCTGTTTTCCATAGCTGCAAAAATGATCCTGAAATGTCTAAGCAGGGGAGTGTCAAGGAGAGGATGGGATTATTTCCAGGAATAGCACTGAGTGATACCGTAACAGGAACACTGGGTTCACCAGAAACCAAAACTAAACAAATGCAAATTTCAACAAATTAGAGTAGGTAACAACTGGTACAACTTACCCAGGGAACTGATGGATTTCCTGTCTCTTGGAGTCTTTAAATCAAGGTTGGATGTTTCACTAAAATATGTGTTCCAACAGAAATGGAAACTGCAGGATGAGACTCCTGGTCAGAACAGATTAGACCACTGTATGAAATGGTTCCTTGTGGACTCTCAAATTAAATTTAAATTAACATGCTACTGTCATATTTGAAAAAGGCATATTCCTCAGCTCAGTTGGTAGGCAGCAATTTGCCTATAATGGACATATTTCTAAAATCATAATCTTTTATACATATTTGGCATGAATTCACGTGAGTATGTGTCATCAGGTTAACTTAGTATTTTACCTGTTTCCAAGTTACTTGCTCCTAGTGGTGAAGAACCAGACAGCCATTATAGAGTTGAAATATTATTCCATTTTTCATTACATTTTACTTGGATTTACAAAGTCAAAAAGTTAAATACTAAAGGACAGAAGAAAGGAGGAACCAAATTTTGAGGAGAATTCAGGGAGACAAAGGAAGCAAGGCAAGGAAGATGGAAAGAAAGACACACAAGAGCAAAAGTAGAGGTCACAAAAAGCCATGGGTAAATAATGTGGAGCACAAGCCTGCAGATTGAGAGGAAGGATGGGAATACGTGACAGGAAAGTAAAGGGAAGTAGAAGAGTTACTGAAAAATAAAGGAATGAGTATTCTGAAATGCAGGTGAAGTCTGTTTGCCAGTGATCTGCAAAGAAGTCTTTCAAAGAGTGATTTATTTACAGGAACTCCACACTTTCCCAAACACAGAGTCACACACAGTTGCACATGCCCATGCAGACAAGTTTATATATATATCTGCTCTCAGTGTTCTTTTCTTGCTCTTTTGGGTAGACTGAGGAGCCCACAGTCATGCTTCAAAAATCACTGTCACCCTCTGCAGCAATTAAAGGGGATGTCTTTTTACTCCAGAGCCTGGAAACACAGGATGTAGTAATAAACCAAGAAAGTAAACCTTCAGGAAAGCAGGCAAAACTCTGGTCTTGGAGCAAATGTGTGTGTTTGAGCACAGAGCCACAAAGCTTGCCTTAAAAATCAATATTCTTTCATATTGCAAATTAACATTTTTAAATTAAGTTATTTGAGCTTCAATCATTCCCTGTGACTGACAGAAATCTCTCCACAAAGCCACATGTAAAACTAGAAGCTCCCCTCCCTGACATACAGCTATTGTTGGATGATTTCATTACCTATCATTTATTATATATATCTTTTAATAATTAACTGCAATATCCCCAGACTTCTGGCAGCTGCTCTGGGGAACTTCCAAAGCCTGTAAAGAAAAATCTAAAGGCACCAAAGATAAGGGTCTAGCAAAAAAAGAAAAAAAAAAAAAAAAGGAGAAAGAACCCCCCCCCAACAACAACCAAAAAAAACAGCTATAAAAGAAGGGGGGAAAATAGAAGTAAAAAAAAAAAAAAAAAAGGAGAGAGAGGAAAGGAGGCGGCAAAGGAGCAGCGAAGTTTTCCTTGCATTTGCTCTCTCCTTTTGGCATGAGTGCCCACAAGCGCTGAGCGCTTCCCTAGTCTCGTCCCTCTGCTCCATCCTCTGCCGCAAACCCCCCCGGCAGCGAGGCGGGGGTCCCGCTGCTCCCGTGCGGCCCTGAGTCCCCCGGAGCGGTGGGGATGTCTGTCTAGCTGCGTCCCCCCCGCTCCGCAGCAGCTCAGCACATGCAGAGCCACCTTCATTAATAATAACTGGTACTTAATAAACGCCAGCCCCAGCCGCGCGAATGATGGGCTGCAGCGGTCGTGCTTCTCCCCATACCCCGCGCAAAGCCCGGGGCAGTGACCTTGCCTGGCACTCACGCCCTCCCCCCGCTGCCGCACAAATTTCCGCGCCGCTGCGCGCACGCAGATGTGCGAGCAGCAGAAACGGGGGGAAATAATGATAATAGTGCTAATAAAAACCCCAAAGCAACACAACCAGCCTCGCCGCCGCCGCGGTGGCTGTAGTGCGCGCAGAACCCGCGGGCAGCTCCGTGGGGCGGCGCAGAACGGGGCACGCTTGGCAGCTCCGCGCCCGCGGCGGTGCGGGCGGCGGCGGCGGCGGCGGCGGCGGCGGCGGCGTCGGGGGGGCTGTCTCACGGCGCATGTCCGCCCGCCGCGCCGCCACTAGCCGCTCCCCCCCGCCGCCAAACTCACCACCATCTTCTGCATGTGCAAGGCTTGCAGCCGGACAGAAACCGCTCCCCGGCGATGGAGACTGCGGGAAAAATCCGGCGCGGCGGCATGGCTTGCTGAAAAGGCAGCGGCGGCCGGAGAGAGGCGGAGCGGCAGCGAGAGAGAACAACGAACAGATACTAAAACACAAGAACACACTGAAAAAAGAGAAAAAGAGGGAAAGAAGGGAGGGAACCTCTCTTTTTATTCCCCCTTCCTCTTTTTTTTTTTTTTTTTTTTTTAATTCTTGATTTTGTTTGTAGCCACCTCGTCCTCAATGCCTCTCTGAGCAGCACCTAGCGAGCGAGCGGGAGAAGGCGAGACAGAGAGGCAAAAGAGAAGATGAGGATAATTTGCAGACAGCTTGTCTTGTTGTTTTCTGGCTTTTGGGGACTAGCAATGGGAGCTTTTCCTAGCAGTGTGCAAATAGGTAAGCGCTGCATTGGGCTGTGTGCGTGTGTCCAGGGGTTCAGTCCTTTGCAAAGTGAGTTGGGAAGGAGGCTCTCGAGGCAGTTTAAGGATTTCTCCTCCAACACCATCCCATTTCCCTGCCTTCACGAAGAAATCCGCGTGTATCGGTGTACGTGTGCGTCTGTGTGTGTGTACATCTCTGTGTGTGTGTATGTATATACCAGTGCGTGTGTGCGTTCGCGTGTGGAAGGGAGGATGCTTCTCTTTCGCAGAACTCGCGCTAGCTCCGGGGGTGAGCAGGCTTGGTAAGCAAGGAAGGGGCTCGGGGATGATGTCCCTTGACTGCCTAAACTCCCCCTTCTCCTCCCGTCTCCGAACCCCCCGCCTTTCACTGGCTCCAGTGGGATGTGGAGTTATATGCACCGGGAGGATGCGGTAGCTGGCAGGGCTGGGGGTAAAAGCCAGCGCTGCCATTCTTTCCCTTCTAGTTGGAAAGTTTAGGGTTTTGTAGGTCTGTCCTTGTAGTTCAGTGCCCCATCCTCACCCCGTTCCCATCTCCTCTTGCTCCCCTTCTTTCAGACGTGTTTCGGATGGGACGCAGCTAGCTGAATTCTTTCCAGCTCAGCTCCATCACTGCATCATTTCTCGTGGACTTGTAGAGATGCTGCTAACAAGGCTAAGCTGCTCCCTGCCTGCACATGGTTGCAGAGGAGCAAAGTTCATTATATTCCTGTTCAGTGCAGATTATCCTACACTGAGTTTGTTATTTTCCTTTTTTCTTTTTTTTTTTTTGTAATCCAAAAAGCATCGTTCCCCTTAATCAGCCTGCCACTTAATGTAAGAGGCTGTTGAGTAGCTGATTTACCAGTGTGTTCCGTATGAGGGAGATGGAGGCTAAACACTTTAAAAGGTCACTGTAATCATGACAAATCTGGGTATTTATGTATGAAAGGCTGGAAACTGAGAAGTCAGAAGAGAAGCATGAATGCATCTGGGAGGTTAAAATCGATTGAGGATAGTGATTTAAAGGCAGTGGTTGTGATTACGAATATGTTTAGTTCCTTATCCATTAAAGTCGTACGACTAGCCTTAGTGTGCAAGCTTTGGGAGAGACAGTTGCTTGGTGCTACAAGATAGTAAATAGCTTGCAAATAATTCACGCTGTTTCCTTTGCTTTTTGCCTTTTTTTTTTCTGTTTTTTGTAGGTGGTCTCTTCATCAGGAACACAGATCAGGAATATACTGCTTTTCGATTAGCAATTTTTCTCCATAACACCAGCCCCAATGCATCCGAAGCACCTTTTAATTTGGTTCCTCATGTAGACAACATTGAAACAGCTAACAGCTTTGCTGTAACAAATGCCTGTAAGTAAACATGCCATTTATCTGACCACCTTATGGGTAAATTGCAGTGGAAATAACAGGAAATCACATCATTATCTTGTATTGCAAAAACATCAGTAAGTCTGTCTTCAGTATAGATACCTTGTGCAGAAGAGCAAAAGGGGCAGCAATCTGTGCTAGTTTCTAAGTGGAGCAAAGTCCCCTCTCCTGCCTTCTGCTGACTAACCTGATGTGACATTTACTTTAGTGTTATTACTGTAGTTTCTTGCTTCCCAGTTTCTATGGAGATGAATTTTTGTTGTAAAGAAAAATTATGAATGTTTCAATCAGTCCGTACACCCCCAGTTCCTCTTGGTTGCTTTTGGGTATGGTGTGCCTTGCGTGTATTTGAAAACATACGATAATACTTGTGCTCACAAATGCTTTTCTAATGGCTGGAAAGGAGAGAGGGAAGCAGTGGTGTGCAGGATAATATATCTGAGTTGTTTGACGCTGCAGTTGATCTGGTGATGTCACTTGAGGCAGCCCTGCTCTTATATTCTAGGTTGTAAATGTCTCTTATCATTTCGTAATGCATACATCCTGTGGATATGTCTCTATGCATCCATACATTGGTGCCAAATCACGTTAGTATCTGATTTACTTGATTTCACAGACCACCTCAACTGGAACAAATATTCTCTTCCTACTATATATTTTATACACACTCACCTGCACACATAGAGTTGCACATACACCAGAGAGAAAATCAGAAAAAGAAATGCCTTTATCAAATGAGGCAACATTTACTTTTTCTTCCTCTTTTTTTTTAAAGAAGCAAAGTATATTAGCTGAACTTACTATATTTGAAACACCTCAGGGTCCTTAGCGCTGGTTAAGCCTGTGCTGGATATGGCTTGATCTCCAGTAGTGGCAAAACATTGTTTCTGTTTATCTTCATGTAGGTCTGGCTTAGGAAAAGGAATTCATGTTATTATGTAAGACAGTGGGACATAGTGTGGCAAAGCTGAAATCATAGTAGCATTGCTACTTTGATGTTCATATTTTAGGACTTTATAGGTTTTCTTCTGTGGTCTTTTAAGTTCCTTAATTCCTCCTCTTCATTCAAGAGTGAATTGCCTCTGGAAGTAGATACCCTAAGCAACATTACTGCTGAGTGTAAAACAGAAATATACTGGAGGAGGTCTTAGTGTTCATCATGCCTTTAAATTAAGTTCTGTGTTTCTCTCCACTTTATCACAGCCATCTCTGTGTCACTTTTTAATATGTAAACATACAATGTACTGTGCATTTCTCATATATAATTTATTGAATGATTGGTAAATTTATTTATATGAGTTTGGTACTCCAAGTTTCAGGATGACCTTGCCACCTTTTTTAACAGGAAAAGCTTCTGAGCTGCCAAAATGGCTCCATTCATTTTATGCAGGAAAGATTGATGTCCCATTAAGTGTGAATTCTATATTAAGCAATGTATTAGTTGTGTTTAGCGTGAAAATCAATATCAACCTCCATAAGGAGAAAACATTTCAAAAGGTGCTTTAAAACTGGAAGGAATAAGATCTATGCAGCTGTAGTTCATTGAGAAAATATCACAATGCATGTCAACTTTTGCAGGCACTGATTGTATATTCCAGGAAGACAAATGACATGGTAGCTTTTTTAAACTTTCATTTTTTGTGAAGAGGAAAGGACTAAAATTTTTGTATACTGAAATCAGTAATTTTAGGTGAAGTCAATTATTTTACATTCTGCCTACACATCCAGTTCTGCCAGATAATTTCTGAGGCTATTGTTACTTTCTGGATTAAGGGCATTGCACAGTATATCTGTTTGAACATTGGTGGATTAATTCTGTCTTGCATAAATCAAAATTGTCTAAAATTGAACCACTTCTCTGTGTAAGTCTAACACCATAGATTAAAAAAGGGTTTGCCCAAAACTTTACTTATTTATACTATTCACAGCAGATTCTTCTCTCTCATTCCAGCCACTTTAAGTTGTATTTACCTTGCACTGTTTTAACTGAGGAAAACCTGTCCCTTGATGTTTCTGTCATTTACAGAAATAGTGATTCATAACCTGATTTTTTTTATTTTATTTTAACTGAATCTAGTTTCAGTTCCAAAGAGTTTAATGACTCAGAGATGATGAATCTTTACAGTATGGGGGGAGGCAAAGATAGAGGAAGAAAGTAAATGTTTACGTTTATCTGTGTGCATGCTCGTATAACTCTGTATGTCTGTATTAAATAGGTTTAAGTCCGTACTTCCCACTTAAACCAACGTGTATGTTTGCATTAGTTCAAGTTTGTATTTATTTCACATTTTGCAATCTCGTGCCAATAATCCAACTGCTGCTTCTTTTTTGAAGCATTTTAATACTGAAGAGTATTTTTTAAACAACAGTTCTCCTAATGAAATCTAGGCAAACTAACTGACAACTGAATGCACATACTGCATGTCCCTTAAGCTAAATATGAGCAGAATCCTGCAAAAATCAATTGTCTGATAGCTGGAGGACACTGACTTCCATGTGATTGAATTTGCTGGCTTGACAGAGGCTTCTAAAGCACAGATGTGTGAGATTTTCTAACCTAATTAAAGAACCCCCACCATCAGCTCTGAATTAAGTCATTTCATGGCAATATGAAATGATAACTCTTTGCTAAACCACTGTGAAACAGCAGCTTTGGATCTTGCCATTTGTGTAGAAATTACTCAGTGCACACGTCCCCAAATATACAGTACAAAAGCCTTAGAGCTGCTGGGCTGCAATGAATATTTATGTGAGTTCAAGCATAAAGCTCTAAGACATGACCGGTTACCTCTATTTCTCTTCCCATTTGCTGCAGAGGTTACTTGTGAAGATTCAGGGCTTGGCCCCTTGCATGTGTTAGGGACAGTAAACAGAGTATTTCAGATGATTGTGGATGGCATATTATCAGATAATTCACTACAACAGTGGAAAAAATTGAATATTTTTTAATTAGATAAAACCAGGTATCCAAATATTCACGCATGTACTTTTGAAACTGGAATAATTTTGGATGTTCAGTTTCTATCTATTTTCTAATGGTTATCTTACACAATTTTTGTTTTCTTCAAATGGGCCCAGAACATTAGTATTTTTACTCTAAATCATGAGTGGATATGAAATGGGTTTCTTAAGCAGATAGACTCTGTTGTAAGTTAGCAAAATTGATCTGATTTATGAGTTTGGAGATAGTCCTCTTCCTTTTCCCTTCCCGTTGTCTATTTTATTTAAACTTTGTTCATTTCTTTTGCACAACATACATTATTCAGAGTATCTCTTTTACTGACAGA